CCTTCCATGAGAGATCGGAAAGCTACCATTGACGAAAGGATCGAGGAAGTTATATTTAAAAAAAAAAAACGTGCTTTCAAAAATAAATTAATTTATTTAAGAAATAAAAAAAAATGTTATCAGATTTGTTTATTCCATCCTTAGCATGTATAGCTTAAGAGATAACAAGCATATATTTGCGATGAATTTATATATACTAAATTTTGGAAAAATTTTATTTTATATTTTTTTTATAAATTGATATATTTAATTAAAAATATATAAATAAAAATTAGAATAAATTTAAAATCATTAAAATTATTTTAAAATTAATAGAATAATTTTTTCAATTATTCGTGTGCATGTATATATATATATTTATATTAAAACAAGTCCTCTATATGCTTAAATTATTATTGTAAATAAAAAGTTTCAGAAATTTTTTAGAGTTTATTTGTTTTCTAGTGATGAACATACAAAATGTAATTTTCTTAGGTATTAATGTGCAAAAAAAAAACCATTAACACATAAAATCAACAAATTTAGAAAATACCAAACAACCACCACTCCAAACACTTATGATAATTGCACATTTACCCTTTTCCTGATAAATTTCAGTGCATTGGTGTTTTCCGGTACAACTGACCAACCCCACATGCTCAGGTCTTCAAGACCAAAGATTCCATATCTCCAACCTCTACTGCGCGGTGCCGTACCATAAATACAAAAAAGTAAAGGGTCTTTTACTTAACTCATTAATATTAGTGGCCTACTATTGCAATTTCCCCATATCCCCGGCTTCAACTCCAGCGACAGCTCCGCCACCATTATCCGCCTCTCCGCCTCCGCCGCCGAGTAGAATCTTCCGTAGCCCGCGAGCGTAGCCGAGAAGCTTTCCAAATGAAGGAATAATAGCCTTTACCTCGTCCTGTTCCTCGAAATCACGAAGCCAGGCATGGAATCTCGGGAACACGCCAGCGTCGACGAGCTTCACCTCCGCAACCTCCTCGAAAACAGCCAGCCAGTAAGAACCGCACCCGAGGACGATGTCGAGAAAGCCTATTTGATCGCCGGAGAAGAAACGGCGGCCGGCGAAGACTCCGTCGGTGAGCTCTGCTTCGACAAGGCGGAGCTCGGAACGAAAACGGTCGACAGCGGCAACCTGAGTGTCGCCGGAAGAAGCGAAAACGGCGGCGACGGCAGGACCGAGGCGGTCGTCGGTGAAGTGGGCCCAGAAACGGGCGGCAGCGCGGTCGTGGGGGGATTTGGGGAGGAGTTGTCGAGGATTGTGGGGGAAATACTCATCGAGGAAATGGAGAATGAGGAGAGATTCAGGGATTGGTCGACCGTCGGCGACGAGAACTGGAACTTTTTGGTAGATTGGGTTGTGGAGAAGAAGAGCAGGGGATTTGTGGGAGAGATCTTCTTCGATATAGTCAAAGGTGAGATTTTTAAGCTTAAGAGCAAGCTGGATGCGGTGAGTGTAGGAGCTGGCCCAAGAGCCGAAGAGCTTAAGGGAGGAAGAAGAGGAGTTTTCTATCTCCATTGGTGAAACAGATGAAGGTTTTTGTTGGACTCCTTTCAAGGAAAGACTTGAGCTTTTCTGTTGAAAGACAGGAGAGGGAGGGCGAATTATATAGAAGAGAGATAAGTGGGTTACGAGGAGGAGAAGAAGGTGATGGTTTTTAAGGTGGGTGAGGATGACTTCGGAGGAGGGTGATGGAGAAGAGATGGGCGAGTACAGGGGAGGCTTGTCGGTGAAGTTATACAATCTGTCATAGCTTACTTCTTGTCGAGTAAAAGTTGGCTTGTTTGTAAAGGAAAGACCTTCAATTTTTTTTTTCTTCTTTATATATATATATAGGGATTTTTACATACATAACACTTCAAACTATTAAAAATACATATTTAATACCTAAATTTTTGTATTTACTAATATACCATCTAAAACACTCTTTTTCATCTATTCAAACACTCCGGCGACTGTGATGACGTCGATGATGATCGGTGTTCCATAAATGCCTGTGGAATTGCTCAACCAAATTCTCCGGCTGCCCCCCTTCCGTCGTCGCTTCAAAATGGCGCGGACACTTACCGAGTCCGGGAGTCCAATTTCTTAGTTCATATGAAGCAAGGAATTTATACCTATTATGTTTCCACCGCTTTCCGATCTCTCCGCCGCCAGCATTCTTTGTCGGCATCGACTTCGATGCCGGACGTCTTCATCAATGGCAAAGCTGGGGCAGGCGGCGGGATCATCTCTCAGCTCATCACCTACTCGTTGAAAACTGTATCATCTTTCTAAACTCGTAAACTCTCGATCTCTCTGCCTCTAATGACACCTCTTTGTTCTCCTACATCTCTTCGTGCTCTTAGGTCAATACTGAGCGCGATCTGTCCAAGTCCATAAACAGAGATGGAACTTCGATATGTCCAAGTCCATAAACAGAGATGGAATTTTTAAGCAGACATGCCAGTTCTCTATATTGAAATGGATTCTTCGGTCTATATCCCTTACTCTCCCTAATTAGGTCTATTTGCACCTGCTAGCTCATGCTTGCTCACTAACCCCATCCCAATGGAACCAGATTAAAGCGTGGATTTCCTTTGAACACACGAGACTGAATGCAAGGGAAGCGGCGTTGCGATCGCGGTGAAAAAGAAACACAGCACGTGTTGAAGGACATTCTCGAGAAATTGGTCGGAGAACGGCTGCGACAGGCTGAGAATTTGTATGAGCAATTCCGCAGGTATTTTTACGGAACACCGATCATCGTCGCCATCTTCGCAATCGCCGGAGTGCTAGAACAGATGAAAAAGAGGATTTGAGGTGGTATATCAGTAAATACAAAAGTTTAAGTGTTGAATATGTATTTATAATAGTTTAAAGTGTTATGTATGTAAAAATCCCATATATATATAGTAGAATTGAAAAAAAAACCATATGTACATATGCATATTGAAGCTAAAAGATGATGTGGTTGATCGAGCTGAAGCAATATATATATCACTACGGTAAGACTTTACAAATGATGCATTCTATAAATTGGATAAAACATCAAAGTAATTATGTTGTTGACATGGCGTGGAAAAGATAGCTTTCATGATAGAAGAAATAAAACCTTTTTAAAATATAAATTACTCTTACATATTAAGAAATTTTTAGTATAATAGTTGATATTTTATTAAAAACTTTAAAATTAAACCTACTTTTGTAGGAGCTTTTCTAGGATGAGTGGCCTTTTGAGAAATTACACTAACGAGAAATAAATCGTGAGATACTTAGGCCAAAACATACATTGTCTCGATAGTTAAAAGTTTGAGCTATTACAAATGATATCAATACAATACACTAGTCAGGAGCATAATATTAGAACTAAGTGCTCCTATCTACCTATGGATGATTCTGAGTAAAGGAAACTGACGAGAACGTCAATTATCTAAGAAGAGAAGATCGTGAAAGTTCAATTTTTATTAGAATATCCAAAGCTAAGCGTGTTGGTACTAAATTACTCATAAGATGAGTGATCACCTGGAAAGTTATATCAATAAAATAATCTTTTTACTTATAAGCATATAAGATTTGAATGATGCTTAGGCTTGGTCCATAAAATTTTTTACTATACTTATAAATGTTAGATTCAATTCCATTTGAACTCTGATCAAAATGTTGGGTTCAATGCCTGAGTTCCCAATGATGAATTTGCTGAAAAAGAAATATTTGATGGTCTCAATAAAATTTATTTCAAAAGTTTTTAATTCGTACCACTATTAGACCTAAAAAATACATTAAAAATTTGTACTTAAACAACAAAGAAGGATAGTTTGACTGCAGCCAAGAAATAGGAACTCACCTAGCAAGAGTATATGAATAAAGTGAAATGCTTTTATTAAATTTGATTAATATTAGAATTTGACATTATAGCATAGATGTAGCCAAGTTCATTCTATTTATTGGGATCACAAAAAAATTTATTTGTAAGAAATTGTGTTAATGCTAGGGCGTCCCCTGGA